TAAATTTATTCTGATTTTTTATATTAAATTTAGAATATGATTTATTACAAAATTTAATAAACATTTTCTGATTTTAATAAATATTTTATTACTTGAAAAATATTTTATGTTTTATATTATAAAGTAATAAATTTATTCTTTTGTTTTTATTTTTTGTTAATTCTTTTTTATAAAAATTTTATTTGAAATATTAAATAGAAATTATTAATGGAATAATTTATATTAATATACTGTATTATATTAATATAATATACTAATATATTATATTTTAATGTACATTAGGCGACATCCCGTCGACATAATAGGAAAAACTTGGTTATTTGGACTGATTTGGTCGACATTTCCGAAATATAGAAATGTCGACCAAAATAATGTAATTTTTATATTACCATCCATTTCCATGTCGATGAGCCTCGACATCGACATATGTCAGGCGACATTAGCGAAATGTCGCGACATTTGAAACCATGACAACTAATAACATAGTCGAAGAAAAGAAAAGGTTATACACATGAAAACAACTGATGTAAGTCTTCAATGTCAAGAAAACATTTCATTTGAGATGAGAAAAAATCAAGTAACTCACAGCTCCCACAGATAATTGGATGCTTCATGATTTCCGCCAATGAATATAGTTGGAAATGGAGCTACTTCTTCTCCTGAGTAGTACTTCCAAAATGAGTTCATGCTCCGATATTTGGCCTTCACATTAAGGCTTTCCAAGTCTGTTTCATTTCTAACAGCCTGCTTAAACACACCAATATAATAACAACCAAAAAAAAACTCAGCAAAATGATTTCCAAAAAAATTTAAGGGTACACTGAACCAGATCTCAAACAGAACCAACTGACAGATCCACTTTACATGCCACTGTCCTAAAACTTTAGGATTTGCTAATAAGGCATTTCTCAGAATTGCATAGAATCCTGTGGCACTTAAGTTCCCATGGTGGTTAAGGCTCCATCTAGAGGAATTATCTTGTGGGGTGTGCCCATAAGTTGCAAAATCCAACAGAAAATCAGAACCATAATATAAGTGACAATGACAATGCATGTACAAAGCAATGTTTTAAAACGTAGAGGCGTGACGTAAGGCATTCAACTACCTAGAGGCATGAGATATAGTTCAGAATGGGAGGAGGAAGAAGAAGAGGAAGGAGGACCTCATATATATATATATATATATATATATATTTTTTTTTTTTTTATGAAAGATTCTTATATTAAGAAGAATGAAGATGCATAACACTAGTTCAAAGGGAGGGTCTTGTTGAATCAGAGACAAGCGAGCAAGCTGGAGTGGAACAAGGAAGAACCAGAACCGACCCAATTATTAATTGGAACAAAATCACAGAATCAGAACTGATATAATCGATTTGGTCAATTCAGTTTGGTCAGGTAGAACCAACCCATTGACAGCCCTAGCAGTACTCATGAAGCTCCCTATTAGTTTCCCTTCTACCACCAACATAAACTCCACACCTTTTGTGTTGCATGTAAAGTCAATGCCTCAAGAGTTTCCAGATGCAAAAGATAAAAGCAATCCTCATCCTTCAACCAAAACTTTTACATATAACAAGCTGGACCACATATTGACTTATATATTTATTCACCCTGCATTACAACTCATCTTCTGATTATTTTCTTTTCTTTTTATTTTTAAAATACTAAAGTGATTTCCATTCATTATCAGAGATGTCAATACCCTGAATTTCTAGGGGATTCTAACCAATTCAAATCAAAACCTTTTTTTTATCAGAAACGATAACTTTCATTAGAGATAAATTAAAACTGAAATGCAGAAGTCAACCCTTATTAGAATAGGTTGATCTAATAAACATCAAACATTACAGCATTGCCCAGTAAAGTCTCTCCCTTACAGTCCCTTGTTTTGCTAGGGCATCAACAAAACCATTTGTTGATCTCCTTACCCACTTGAAACAAACACCCACCTCCCTTGTTATGCTAAGTATTTCCCTTATAAGCTGTCTATACTGCCAAATTCCCAGCTGCCCTGATTGCATCCACCCAATTACCAATTTGGAGTCCCCCTCTATCTCAATCTACTGTAGCCCCAACTGTTTGGCCAATTTTACACCTTGATGTAGTGCCAAGAGTTCCGCTCTTAAGGAATCTCCAACTCCTACTGGACCTGAATACAAAGCCATTATCTTGCCTTCATTATCTCTAAAAACACTTCCTATACCAGATGGGCCCAGATTTCCTATAAAGCTTCCATCAAAGTTCAGTTTTATCCTTTGTTGCGCCGGTGGGGACCAAACTTCCTGTATCATAGCTTTGGAAGTAGTAGTAGWTGCCACAATACCCCAACTTCTATAAATGTCTTCAGCTGAGAAATCCTTAAAAAGATCACAGGATTTCAACCAATGCATAACCTTAGTAGTTACTCCTTCCACAACCTCTTCATTGGATCTACAACTACCTTTGAAGGATCCTATTGTTTCTTTCCTCCCACACTGACCACAATACAACAACTCTAGTGGCTCTCCACATAATCCTTCCACGAACCTTTGGTTGCCTTGCCTGCAAAAAGCTGGATCAAAGAGGTTCACCACACTTGGGGGGGAGTCCATCTGCAGCCAAAGAGAGGAGAGAACCAAGACCAAATAAAGAACACAAAGGGACATGAGATTAGTAAGTGCGAAATTGTCTCACCAGAACCCAAGCAGAGACTACAAACATGGGGGGAGAGGCACATATTTGGCCTCTTTTTCTGCAATAAATCCAAGGTATTGATTTTCTGGAGTGAAACTTCCCAGCAAAAGGCCTAAATCTTTGGGGGTACAGAGCTAACCCGCACCTCCTTTAAAGGAAAGTTCCCTGCAAGGTTAGAGGTCTGAATCAAAATGTTGTAGAAAGAAGAGCAATTGAAAAAACCAAATGGGGAAGGTTTCCAAATTCTACTATCCCAATAAGGCTGATCAAGAAAGACTTCCCCTAACTGAGTGATCAAATCATCAACCATTACCATCCCCATTTCAGAATCCCTTAGACCTCCTCTCAAGCCCAAATCCCAGGAGTTATCAACAAACACTGAAGAGATCACTTTTCTTTTGTTTTCAGACAAAGAGTAAACACAAGGAAATCTATCTCTAAGGGAGTTTTCACCAACCCAAACATCTTCCCAAAACAAGACTTTATTTTCAACGGAGATATCATATTTGAAATAAGGGAGCATAAGAGGCAAAATACCTTGAATAGTTTTCCAAGGAGAACACCGAGAAGCCCCAGGGTCGAGTCCTGCATCCCAACCGTTATTTGCCAATCCATGAATACTAACAAGCACTCTAGACCAAAGTCTACCATGTTCCATTGGTAGTCTCCAAATCCATTTCCCCAGCAGAGTCGTGTTTCTTAATCTTACATTTCCTAACCCAAGGCCTCCATCATCCCTACTCCTAGAAAGCACCTCCCACTTCACTAAGTGGTCCTTCTTAGTGTCCCCTGGTTCCCACAAGAAATCCCTCATTATCTTCTCTAATTGGTTTGCTACTTTCACTAGTACTCTAATGGTAGACAGGAAATAAACTAGCAGGTTGGCCAAGGTTGACTTGATTAAGGTTATCTTACCCCCTAAAGAGATGCAATTCCTTTTCCAATTTGCTAATCTCTTGGAAAATCTTTCAATCACAGGGTATCAAAAACTCTCAACCATTGGGTTCCCTCCCAGTGGGAGCCCCAAATATTGTAAAGGCCAATCCCCCACTTCGCACCCCAAAATCCTAGTTAGGGAATCCACCTCCTCTCCCCCTAAATTGAGCCCTGCCACACAACTTTTTCCCCAGTTCACTTTAAGATTGGACTTCCTTTCAAATTGAAGCACTAGTCTCTTTAAGTTCTGTAATTCCCCTTCCCATCACAAAACAAGATGATGTCATCTGCAAATTGTAAGTGTGTGACCACCACCTCCTCCCTACCAATCCTCCAACCTCTTATCAAATTGTTAGCATCAACCCTCAAAATCATGGCACTCAGAACATCAGCTACTAAGGTAAAGAGGAATGGGGACAATGGATCCCCTTGCCTAATACCCCTTTTGGAAGGAAAGAAACCCCTAGCTACACCATTCACCAGTATTGAGAAATGACATGAAGAAATGCATCTCTTTACCCATCTGCACCATCTCTCCCCAAACCCTCTACGCTTGAGAACCTTTAGTAAAAAATCCCAGTCCACCATGTCATATGCCTTTTCAAGATCCAATTTGCAAACCAGCCCCTGTTCCTTTCTCCTCCTCTTCACCTCAACAATCTTATGATAGATAACAATAAAAGGCCATTACCCAATGTTGTTCCTAGCTATCTAGGTTTTTATGATAGACAAGACAAATGCCCCAGAGTACTCTCCATTAGAAATTAAACCAAAATTTAGTTCTAACTTCATTAAGATAAATCAAATTCTGAAAACTAACTTGCAATAAACTTAATAAGATCACTTACCTTCCTACATAATCATTAAAAACATGTATGTAGTACAAATAATTAAATTGTAATTTCTAATGACAAAATCAACAACACCAAATATGAATTATATATTTACAGGATATAAGTAATCAACCTGAAAGTCACCACAGCAGATGAGAAGATCAATCTTTGTATTCTCCACTTTCTCCAAATGCAGCAGAGTTGAGTATACATTGTCAAGATCTCCATGCATACATCCTTCGACTGCAATCTTCACAGGACAAGAGTAAAATAAATGAGCATAAATAAAAAGAAAAACAACCAGAAACAATTCAGACTGATAATACAGATTTGGCAGAGTTAATACTTTTCAATCTACAATTGAAGTTTGGTAAAAAAAGGAAAACTAGTAAATGAATGATAGGGAGTGAAGACACAAGTTTTGGCAGCATACTTTCATATTGATGAAGCAGGGTAGTCAACCTTGAGAAACGTTAATGAAGTCTGAGATGCAAGAAAGGTGACTGAGAATCATTCCTTCTAAACCCTAGCATATGAGTGCCAAAACCAACCACTAAAGGGTTGCACTTGAAAGGAAAATATTCATAGTTCCACCAACTTCAGGCTCTTCTCCCTCTTTGGCTTCAGGTTTTTGTCCAATAGGGGCATGTTTCACTTAACTACCTAAACTTGATGTTGTGCCAGATTTCACCTGAATTATCACAAGTTAAGCAAATAAATACCTCCTTTAGCATTCCGTCAGGAAAATGGATGGAAAATACCCCTGTGCACGTCACAGGATAAATAAAATGCAGTAGCATGTTCAAAATCTTATAAGCAACTAACTCCTGAAACCTATCAAATTAACAAGAACATTCATTGCTTCAAGAATTAACTGTGTACAAATTGAATTATGTAAGAAAAATACCAATGCATCCCAACGATAAAGATATCAACATCAAGTGCGATGGAAAATTGAATGAATTATTAATCCTATACCTAACATCTGTTATTGATTCTTCCCAAAAAGAATTAAAAAAAATCAGAGACAAAATATTAGTCATTTTTTAGGCCAAATTACGAGTCACTTATGAACAAGAAAGAAAATGTAATCCGCTAAGATGATTACAAAAATTCAAATTAGCCCCGCTTCAAAATTCCTGCAATCCCTTCCTAGCCTCGAGAGCTGCAGGGAAGATAGTATTCCCTATATTGGAAGCTTTAAACACTGTATCTGGGTATTTATAAAACGGTCAATATGAGTTGTAGATATCTAGAGGGCCTCAGGGCTGTCGAACAGAGATGGTAAGTCGTCATTCACAGTTTTCTCAAAGTATTTGCGCATTCATCTGTATTCATGCTCCAACAAACAGATGGGAGAAACTAAAGAACGAAGAACTGATCAAATATTGAGCTACAGCTACCTGAACCAAGACAGGCTTATTAAAGATTTATTAACTCTCTTGATATTAGTAATCAATGGATGCTTTGAGGTAAAAAGGTCACACCTTCTCATAAATGGCTTCTTGAACAACTGTTGATGAAGCCAGTTGCTTATCTCGTTTTGCGCAGCGTCTGAGGGAGCGAAAGAGGAAAACAGAGATGATGGCCGTGAGAGAAATACTGACTTGGCGGGGAAAAAGGTCGTCAGTGGTGGAGAAGATAGAGTTGCAGCTGCAAGCGCTACTCTCCGCCACTAGAACAGTTGAACCTTCTCTTCTCTGCAAATGGCGGAGATGGAGGGGGAGAGAGTCGGAGAGCAGACGGTGTTCTGTTCGAATCCTAACCCAACCAAATGGGTTTCTTCTTAGTTACTTGACCCATATTCGAAATTTCGAAACCTGATCATTGGTTCGATTTCGATGGGTCACAGGTGGATGGGTTGGGTCAAAAATTATCCTAGATTTTTCAAGATACTTTTTTTTTTACGAAAAAGCATGGACAGGTTCAATGGAGATTTATGAATTTCATTGCAGAAGTATAGACATTCAAAATGTCAAAAACCTCATTTTATACACCAATATCTGCCCCTGAATTAATATCAATTCCAAGCTGGCACCCACTCTAACTGTTCTTTGGGCTTAAAAATTCTGACCCTGGGCTGAACCATCATTCTCCCTTTTTTTACACAATTTTTCAAGGTACTTGCCCCATTCACTGCAATGAGGCAAGTATATTTTTGTTTTAAAATTGGATTTTGGGATAGGGGCAAGTTTTGGAATTTCCTAACATGTTGAGAATATGATAGGGTATGTGTTTTACATATTTCAATAAAGTAATTAAAATTTTTAATGTTTTGTTTATATTCTTTTATTTATTAATTACTTATATATAATAAGAAATAATCAAAAAATTAGATGTCAGTTCTAAACCCACCTCACCCTCTAGACGAAAAAAGTAGAGGTGGGGAGGATTTTGCATTTTCATGTATAAAGAGAGTTTAGATTTTAAAAATTCAACTTATTATTATATTTGTGGGAGGGTCTAAAATTTATAAAACCCTCCCCAATGCTGCCTCTATCCCTACTGCCAATAATCTTCTTCGGTAGGTGGAAGCTTTAAAGGGTCATAATTGAATCCCCCATACATATAAGAAATGCGTTTTTAGTAATTTTATGTGAAGTGTAAACTCATGGTTCAAACTTCAAACTATCAATACACTTCTATTGAAAATTTAGGATCAAGTGCTTTTAACTATCGATCCTCAGATTATTTTAATTAGTCAATGCTTATTACCACCATTATTATTATAATTTGTCACAAATTCCTTATTACAAGGAATTTTGTCACAAATTTCTTATATTTTTGTGTATCAGCTGTCAGCAACCTCTCAAAAACCAATACATATTGATAGACTTTGAACCATGAGTGAACTAGGGGAACAAACTTCATAAATGTTGGAAAATGAAGGAACAGCTATGATTAAAAATGTCGATATTTTGGATATGCAAAAATCATGCATCTAGAATTTTCAACAATTGATACAAATAAATATATTAAGAAGATTATTAATGTTTAAACCTAATAAAAGATCCTAACTCTAAATATTTAACGTTCTGATGAAAACTGATACGTTTTTGACACTTTGAACCATGGGAAGAACTGAGGGTGCGTTTTGTTCTAAGGAATAGGATCCTGGAACCGGAATCGGAATGACATGGTTTGGTTGAGTGGGAACCATGACAGTTCTGAATTCCGATCCCGATTCCTGATTAAACCAAACACCAGGAATAGGTGATTCCGATTCCGGTCCTGTCCGCAATCCAAACGGATCCTGAAATATGCATGTATATGCGTATATCTGTCATCTTCATCAGAACTGTCCTGGTTCCCTCTCATTTTTTGGATTACATTGTCGTTTGAAATTGCTTTTAACCAATGGTTCGTTCGTTGGCATCACAGTATACCCATTACTGGCCCGTAGTAGAGAAAGGTTTTGAAAAAGATTGAAATTCTCATTGAATGCATATTTGAAGAATCCTGTTACTGAGTTATCTTGAAACTTGAATAGCTTTGATAAAATTTCATATGCATGTCCATTCATCACATCTTATGGCAACACACATCAAAAATATCAAGAAACATGCCAACGCCAGCCACTTCTGTTCTCCATGATCCAGAGTCTCACTCTCCTCCAGTTCCCCTCTGAGGCTCTGATCAGTCTGCGCGGGGGGGAGAGTGGTTGGTTTGGGTTCATTCTATAATCTCATGCAACCTGATGTATGACATTGCACAATGTTGACCAGACCACGAAATTTACAATAGGAAACAAAACTTCCTGCAAGGTTAGGGTCAAGGGATGATGAAACCTTTTGGCGTCTCACAGATTATCTACCAGATAAACCTCTGTGTCCCAGGCTCATGTTTCCAGTGAAAGGGCCGAAACAGAAACATCATCATTGTGAAGATGTTAACTGCTATGTAAAGCATCCCCATGATAAGATAGCTTTTGGTATCACTGATCCGAGAATTGAGAATCAAGAAGTAGAATGGTACAGTATAATATCTGAATTCAATCAGTGGAGCAGGGACTAGAACTGCAGCAGTGGCCAGAAAGAACACCAATACCCAGATCTTCTTCTGAATCTTCCCTGCCAAGTGAACAAAACCACTTTCCTCAGTGGATATGGAACTGAATTAATGTTCAATGCTTAGAAGTCTGCTACTCACCCAAGGTACTGAAGATGGAAAGCCACGAGTAGACATATACTGGAACTAAAAGATATTTCACTGACCAATGAGCTTTGATGACCTTTCGCCAGAGATAAAATGTATAGTGTCGGTTGTCAGCAAGAAGATACGGGTGAGCAATGCTGCCAAGGCAAATTAGTGAGTCATAATATTAACAATGGAAACAATTGTACTAATATAAAATTGACTACTATTGATTTGTCCCGATGCCAATTTCCCATGTCCAGGGCCCTTGCTTCTCTTTTTTTCCCAGTGGTTGGGGGAAGGGGTAGATTGGAAACCAAGCAAAATAAACATTCCACGTGCAAACTTGCTCACAGGAGAGAAGAAAGCCTTCATGTTTGGTAATGTTGACACATGCATTTTTCTAAAATCCTGATACAAAAAGTCCTTAAAATTTTGCTGAAGATGTTTTAGCCATATAAAATTGGAAATGCATCACACCTGAAAAAATGCACTGAAACAATCCCAGCAGCAAGAAGAATAATTCCTGGAAAGAAACTGAGAGGTTTTCTCTTCCAAAGTGATTGGTGCAAAAAAGCAGCTTGTTGTAAATTGAAATGCAAAGGAGCCATGGCTAGAGCAGAAAATAAACCAAAATACATTATCTGTGCAAAATGTGGAGACACTGCATGAGCTTCCTTTGCACCTGTAAAATCACGAGTTTCAGCAAACATGAGAAGTCCCATATTCAAGATAAATGGCTGAACAAAGAGAGATGGAAAATGGTTGGTACCAAGAACTACACTTCCATTCCACAGGATAAACATTGCAAAGGCCAGCAACACCACAAGAAATGGACCAAAGTAAACCATAAGCTCCCACTTCAAATGCCACATCCCTAAAATAATCACCCGAAGCTCATTAAGCAGACCTGCTACAGAAGTAATGGTACAGAAAAAAGTCAGTTGATCTATCAAAAAAAAAAAAAGAAAGAATGTGTCAGCTACAAGTTTTCCAAAAAGACAAACACAAATATCTGATCGTCAGCATTGATTGTAATCATCTGGTGAATTATTTTCTTTTAGGCCAGAATGCTACCAAAAAAAAAACTAAACTCAAATAAAAAAAAGAAGAAAATACAGTATTGATTGCGATCTGGTAAATTATGTTTCTTTGTGGCCAGAATAATACAGAAAAACTAAGGTCAACCAAGTGAGTGGTTATACTTATCTTATTGGACCAAATTGCAACCCAGGAGACTCATTGAAGAAACACATCAAGTGTTGGATCCAGCACCTAGTTTATTTGCTTCATGCAAAAGTATACCATTGATAGATACCATTTGATACAATTTGAGAGGAAAAGAAGAGAAGATCAGATCAGATAAAAAATTCTGTTAATGAAGAAACGGGAGAAGAGGGGGGAGGAAGAGGAAGGAAAGGAGGGGGGCATGGTTGATGAAGAGCAACAAACGGCAGAGTGTGAAGGGGTGGAAGCTGTATTAGAAAATGAAGCTGATCACGTGGAATCCAGGAAGAGCAGGAATAGGAGGTGTTTTTAGAAACCACAAAGGAGTGGTGGTGGCATTATTTTCAGGACCAATTGGCTTTGGAGATTCAGTACAAGCTGAAATGATGGCTCTCTTACAAGGATTAAGATTTGCTATACAAGTTGGAGTAAGGGAATTAGAAATGGAGGGAGATTATCAGTTAGTCATATCTTGGTCCAAGAATATCAGATCAGCTCCATGGAAATATAGACATGCTTTTAGGGAGATCGACACCTTGTCAAAGAGATTCAATTCCACTTTTGGGTGGATAAGGTCTGCAAATGGAATGGCAGATGTATTGGCAAAGTAAAGAGCCAATAGAGATGGCTTGTTTTGGGCTAAATTGTAATCTGATGTACTTAGGGATGCTAGGAACTTACCAGCCTTTTTGGGAATTCTTTGTAACTGCATTTTGATAAGCTCCTGGGGATGACATACCTGTCATCATTTGTACTGTTACAACTTTCTTTAAATCTAATAAATTAATCTCTTCTGCTGATCAAAAAAACTGTCAGAGGACTGAGAGGAAGAAGAAGAGATGTTGCAAAAACTGTTTGAGAAATCAAAGTCCTGATGCGGCACTGCTTCAAGAAACTAAACTGGAAGTAGTTGATATGATCTTTTGGAAGGAAAGTAACAGAAGAATTTTGATGCCAAATTCTACAACATGGGTGGGATAGTAGGCAGGTCAGTTGCTGATTGAGTTATGGTTCATCCAGTTTTCAGACATCCTGATAAGAGGAACTGGGGGAAATTTCAGGGGAAGGGTTGGGAATTCAGATATGTAATATGGAAATCTTTTCTGAGACTGGATCCTTTTATTAATGGTTGTAATTGGGTTGGGTGATGTCTTATCACCACCATCTTGTAATTTTTCTTTTTTTTAATGAAATTTTCTTTTTTACCTATCAAAAAAAAAATGCAGAACTTAGTACCTCAGGTTTATACCTAGGGTAAATTTTTGGGAAAGATTCCTGTAAATTTGATTGATTTCAGCTCAGCATTAAAAAGTAGGAAAGATTTTTGCAAGAAGCTAGTTGCAGCAATAACCTTTTGGGATGTCATGGGTTAAATTATGTTCCCTGTATCGTTATATAGCTATGTTGATTTATCTTATATATGTTATGTGCTATATAAAAAGAAAAAAATGCAAAACCAAATGCTTACCAAGTGTTCATATCAGTGATTCAGTATTGGATAATAGCATATTGTAGGTTATTCCCCTACAGTTATATATGATTTAAGCACTAATGGATTTTCTGGCTCATTGACAGAAAGTGTAAAAAGAGAATATGTGTAGACATGGATTCTTGCTGATATCTTTCTTTCAATAAAATTCCAACTTTTCAAAAAAGAAGAGACACAGACAGCATGTTTACAATCCACACTCACCAAATGTATGGTTGAAATGGAATGTTAATAAGCAAACCTAGAAGAAAAATATTTCTTCAGCCAGAGGGAGGCCCAACAAAATGAAAGTGTAAAATATTTGTCCAACTTATTCTATGGCACTACAGTAGGTTAAACCAGACCTGTTTTGGAAATTCTGAAAAAAAAAAGAGGCCGCAGTCAATGGAACCGCCAATAATCCAATTCATTTAAGTTGGATTCAGATATCCATTTAACCATAATCAAATTAAATTGGATTTGAAAAACTGATCTGTTTATTAATTGGATTGAATTTGGATATCACTTGATCCAATCCATTCTGATTGTATATACATATATAAAGGACTATTTGTAAAAGTTTAATTTAATTCTTTAGGGTTAAGTGGGATTTAGGATATAGATAAAATCTATTTTTGTCTGCAACAATATATTTTCTTATTTTATATTTAACTTTGTATAAAGCATACTAGTTTTATTAGATTTATTGAGCGTTAATTCAAATCTGATTTCAAGATATATAAATAAATTGAATTCACATCCATGCTTTATTTATGTTATTGAATCAAATTCAGATCTCCTACAGTCTTATCAAATTGGATTCAGATATACCCCCATATGAATTTGATCAAATCTGTTTGCAGCCCTGCCAAGTGAAAAACAATGTTAAAGAATCTATCAATCTCAAATACTGCATTAATTATGCAAGCAAATTAGTACACAAGAAGGTGAGGAGGTGGGGAAGGTGATGTATCTTCATATAGTATTGGTCAACTACTAGTTATGGCAACCATTATGGTTATCAAAGCACAGAACTTCAAAATGTCAGGAAAATGCATACCCTGAAATTTTACCAAATAATAAGATGCCACGGAGAAACTCATAAGCACACTCAAAGAAACAAAAAGAAGCAACTGTTAAGAAAACCAAGAAAAAATCAGAAGAAGATACAAAACAGAACCTGGAACATGAGTTGATGAACTTGCGGCAGAACTAGAGTGGTTAACAATATTTACCACACCCAACATTTTCCGCTTTCTCAAGTTTGTGCCCATTGGGACACTCCTCTCTTCAGATAACTGAGCATTTTTCCTGATTGATACATCAGAAGCATCCAGTTGCACATTAACATTTTGATGTGAACCTAAAAATGTAATAGCCCCATCACAAGCAACAAAAAGCACCCATACAGCATTTGTTTGCCGAATAAGTATTGCCAAGGCCCCAAGCTGTAAAAATAGAGGCATAATTAAGTGACATCTAGAGAAGAAGAATGTTCTCTTCAATAATTACAAATTTCATAATAAAATTATTTTCCTTTTTTCAATTGGTAAACTCAATGGTTAGTCATCAGTAGATAAATCAATGAAGACAGGATTCAATACCAGGTCTTGGGTTTGACTCCCCAAGACTTTACTAAGCTAGCTGAGTCCTTACACTTTTTCTTTTCCTAGGAAAATGAAATAGACAATAAGGGTAGCCTTCTCCCGGCCCTAGCAAAGGCAGGATTCAAACCCAGATCTCGTCTACAACCAGTAAGAGATATTACGAACTGAGCCAGCTGGCACCTTCTAAAAAAACATTATGGCGCTTCAATCTTGTACTATTCAAAAGAGTCAAAGCATGCCAGGTAAATTCCTATCCAAAATCAAGTATCAAATGTATCTTTCATGTTGTTTCATGTTTTGGTCCTCGTTGGGTGAGCTTCTCCATCCATTGCTTTTTTATTCTTCAACAGGCAAACACATAGATCAGATTGGATGAACTGGACTTTGCGGTACCAACCAGACCAGGCCAGGTCAGCCCAGACTGACCTGGGGAGACACCAAATCGTAGTGCAATATTTAAGGGATTCCACTAACAAAGTAATTCCCTTGTCTTGAACTCAAGACCTGCACATGGGAGTTGATGCCAATGACTACCTGGCTAAAGGTGTAAATATGTATCTAGAGTTCCTCCAAATAATGATGATGATAGTAGGAAAAGAGGTTTCTGAATCAGGCCAAGTAGTGAAACTTGCTACTTGATCCATCTACTTATGCCATGCAGAGGGGATTCTGTGGCCAACCCAAACTGTGCATCTTATAGGGAACCCTCTGGAGTGGTTATTTATTCACTTTCTCATTTCATGAACCACATATGCTACCTTGTATTGAAATTTTCACTCAATACTAATAGCTGTCCAGATTTACAATTTGTGTGTGTGTTTTCTACGAGTGTCCAGATTTATAATTTGTTAATTAAAAAAACCTATAAAGCCAGAACTTGTTGAACAATGGAAAGGTTTTCTGTCTGAAACTACTCTGTAGATAAAGGGTTTAAAGAGGACCACTAGGACTCCTTTTGAACCCCAAAACCCAAGTAGTAGACCCACATGGTGATGATGACAATACTGTGTAAACAGGGAACAGAACTACTTAGAAAAGGAAACTAGGGCTTTAAGAAACAAATTTACATAACCAGGGCATTTAGTGAGAAACTATAACATAAAATCTTTAGGAAATGTGATTTAAGAAAGTAGCTGAATCGATGCCAAAAGAGCAAAGAGAATTTTGGATTGCCTCAATATTAGCAAGAATGGCAAATGCAGAGAAAAATATGGTAAATACACACATGTAACAAGTTATTCAAAGGTTTTTCCAGCTCAATTAGCTCAGAGGAATCATATAAGGAGAGCCTAAGGCAGAAGCCAAGGACATTGAACTGATAAAAACTTGGCCTGCTAATGGTAAAAAAGGATGAAATATGACCAAATTAACAACAAGTTTTAAGCGGAAGATATCAACTTCCCAATAAGTTTTAGATTTAATAAACATGTTAGAGTGAAAACCCAGTTTCAAAAAGGAACCAATTAAGCGGAAGATTAAAAGGGAAACATCATGGTAAAGGATGATAAATAAAGAGTTAAACTGGTTTCTTTACCAGTGAACTAAAGTGGTAATGCTTCTTCAGACAAGCCAAGTACATAGAAAGCACCACAGTAAGTGATGCTACATCTGTATAATACAGAAAACTGAAGAACCAATGAAGGGGATATAATGCTAAAACTACTGTATACAATGTTGCCTTTCTTTCATCGAGATCTGGTCTTAAATGGACAAGCATCTCAAACAAAAGCATGGCACAGATGATTGTCAAAGCACCATTGCTTGATCGAAGAATTGCAGTAGAACAAAGATCAGAAAATGATGAAGAACTCCGTAACCACAACATGCTTGGAAACAAAGCAACATGTGCAAGTGAAAGATAGTACCTGCAATGGTTTTAAATTGCATATATCAACTTCCCATATTTTTTATCTTATTTGAAAAAAAAAAACTAAGTATTTCTACTTATACTAGCTTTCTCCCAAAAGGGCACCAAGTGAATGTTAGTCCTTTTAGTTGAACAGATTGAGAAATAAGACATTACATGATACTGAGGAACTTAAAGTCAAAAGGCAATGGTAAACATATTACAGTATTTGGATACGTGAAACATTGACTTCATGCAAGTAGAAGGTTCTAAAAGAGCAAGATAAATACCAAACAAAGTGTAGTAGTAGTAGTAAGAAAAGATCTAAGGGCTTCCAGTTTGACAGAAAACATTGTTCTTGATAAAGCATAGTGGTGGGACAGGATATGTGTAGCCAACCCCAAATAGTTGGGATGAAGGCTGGATTAAGTTGACGATATCCAAAGAATACCCAATTGTAGTTTGCATTTTCATAAAAGTAACTTCTCATGTTTAGACAAAACCTGGAAAACAGAAATATCCCTAATAATTTCTACCAATTTTTTTAAAACCAGAAATTGAGGTTGTTCAGGCTAGTGGCAGTGATTTGTTCATGCCAGTCAAACAAACAGCATGAGGCTAACTTGGGTGAGAACCATGACATCAACTTTCATAAAAAAGATAAAATATTAGTTAGGCCCAAAGTCTAGTACTCTAGTTAGAAGTTAATTGGTTCACCAGATTGCTCAGTTCAGTTCAACCATTTCTTATCCTTTTTTTTTTTGAAGAAAATAACAAAAAATTAAGTATCAAGGTAAGAAACAGGGTACATGAGAAGATGTACAGCTGTAAAGCAAGGACTCTCCAAGGAGATTACAATGGTAGAAGACAAGCACTATATAAAGAATCCCTATGAACCCCAGATTTTGCTAGACCATCTGCCATGAATTTAACTCCCTAGGAATCCACTTAGTTGTTACGTTCATCAGGGCCATGATGTCTCTGGCCTCATCCAAAAAATATACCAGTCTCCGAGGGCCACCATTCTTCTCTCCTAATCATTTTATGGTGTTTGTGGAGTCTCCTTCAATGGTTGGGAAAGATAAACCCAGGTTCTTTGCAATTCGAGGACCTGCTAAAGCAGCAACAATCTCAGCCTTTATACAATCCGTAGTCCCTATCAGGCCACTAAAAGCCCAACAAAATTTCCATCTTCCCCGATCACACCTCCTATCCCAGCCTCCCCCGGATTGCCTACCGCACTTCAATATAAGTTTAATCTCGTCCCCACCTCCCTAATAGGGAGTCCCGGACAGAGACTAGAGTCAAAGAAGAGTATAAAATCTCAACTAAATTCCTTTGTAGATCAGAATGGGAAATGCCTTTGAAAGAATCAGAGTTTTCCACCCAATTGTTGCACAAAAGGTTATGCAAGATATAAGATCTTCAGTGGTTCTTGTCTTATTTTCAAAAATGTGCTTGTTTCTTTCTTCACACATTCCCCACATCACTGTGGTGGGTCAGCATACACCAAAATATTTTCCCTCTCTGACCCAAACCTCTGTCATTCCATTGCCAAAGGAGCTCCAAAACATGTTCAGGGGGCAGCCCACAGCCCAGCTTTATCCATATCCAACTAGGAGATCAGATAAATCTGCTTATGACTGCCTCAAGCTCATCTTGTACCTTTACAAGAACAGCCTAGATTTAGACCAAAACTTTCTGGCCCAGCATAATCCTCTACTGAAAAACCACATTGCCTCAAAAAATGTCAGCTCAAAACTCCCAAGCACCTGTAAATCAGTACAATAGAAACATGATTGCATAAACCCTGAACATCTGAAATCATATTCTATAAACTTGTATCAATGAAGGTTCTTGAATTTCAGGCTTCTAGTCAATTGATTACACATCTTTATGGTGATGTAATGCTATGAATATGCTGATGTAGAATTGTAGCATCAAGTAACAAAAGAACTAATGAAATCATGGCGATCCCACATTCACAAGATTCAGTGGACGGCAAGTTGGTTTTTGAGCCAGGTCAGTGAATGATGGCATGATGACTCAAATAGCAGCCTTGGCTTGCCTGATAGCCCCCTAAAGTTGCTTAGACTCACGATATAAAATAAAAGATTAAGTAGAAAATGTTCTAAGTAGTGTAAAATAATCTCATGTGTTTCTATGCCACCTAACTCCATACAATTGAAAGATAAGACCGAAGTATGCATCAGATGCTTGATTTGTCCATCAGTTTGGGTCAAAAGAAAATCCAGTAACCAAAATTCATTTCCCACAATAAAACAGACAGTATTAATGGGTAGTTGTAAATTAGCTTCACCATCCAGAGTTCAAGTTTTATTACCCGATCTTGCTCCATCTGAATTGGATTATTATTAACATAAAAGGTTCAAAGAAGGCCAAGATGGAAAGTTTTCACAAGCAGCACAGGTAACAGGAAGAGCCCAGGGAAGGGCAGGTGGCCAATCTGGATGACACAAAAATGCATGGGGAGATTATCAACATCATCATCCACTAAAGCAACAGTTATGGCCTTTTGGTTTGGCTCCTAGAAGGTTTTCCTTTTTTTCTTGTTGACTGAAGGGATTTCACTAATGTTATTAGATGGGGGCAAGGATTTTGAAGGAACCCTTAGCGATAGACAAAACTGCTTAATGAGATTAGATTCTAAGAATTTCAATGCAATACCAGATAAGTTGACAAAATCCGGGGTTGCCACTTATGAGACCTATGAATTGTTGGTCATCCCTTCCCCTTCTAACATGTTATGTAGACTTGGGTGCATGTTGTCTCTTGATCCCCACTTGTATATCATCTTTATCCTACAATAGCATAGTTGTTTATGTTTGCCTCCTAAACAAAAATAAAATAAAATAACTTCCCTATTCCACCTTTTTTTATGAGTAAAGTTATTCCACCTAAATGACAGTGGTAATGATAAGAACGGTAAAGCAATGAAAGAATGAACATAGGAGGTTATGTGCAATTTACCCTATACACTGCATAAATATATATATATTTTTTTGATCAATAACACTTTCATTAATTCATCAGTAGAAAATTTACAAGTGGAAGACAAACACACTTATCTTCCAAGAGTCACAAAGAACTTCAGGAAAGGAAAGAAAAAAATACAAAGATACAAGGACACTAACATTACAACTTAGCCCAAAACAAGGAATCCCTTTCAGCCCCTTGT